AGGTCTATCTGAATAATAGGAATTCTAGAAGGACGATGAAATAACCAAATTGAAGAATTCCCTTGAGGGCTTCAATGGGAGACATTAATTTAAAAAATCAGCAAAATTGAAGAAAGGTTCTTTGAAATAATAGAGTCTGAAGAATAAAAAGAAAAGAGGATAAGGAAAAGCAAACAGAGACTAAGGAACTTACATCAAATAGGCAAATATATGCATTATGGGAGTTCTAAAAGGAGAAGAGCAAAAGGAGTGGAGAGGTTATTTAAAGAAATAATAAAGTAACTTCCCAAATCTGAGGAAACAAATCAACAAAGCTCTATAAACTCCAAGTAGGATAAACAAAATGAGACCCACACTAAAAGGCATAAAGAAACTAAAAAACAAACAAACAAACAAACAAACAAAAAACATAGAAGAAGAACAAAGAGAATCTTTTCTTGATTGTATTGATTACAGCTAATTTCCCCATGCTGGCATACCCCTTCCACCTGGTACACCCCTTCTCTTCAGCAATCCCCCCCCCCCACTTAGTTCATGTCCATGGGTTGTGCATATAAGTTCTTTGGCTTTTCCATTTCCTATACTATTCTTAACATCCTCCCGTCTATTTTGTACCCACCAATTATGCTTCTTAATCCCTGTACATTTTCCCCCATTCTCCCTCTCACCCTTTTCAGACAACCCTCCAAATGTTCTCTATATCCATGATTCTGTTCATGTTCTGGTTGTTTTCCTAGTTTTTAATTTTTTTAGGTTCAGTTGTGAGTTTGTCATTTTCATGTTCATAGTTTTGATCTTTTTCTTAAATAAGTCCCTTTAACTTTTCATGTAAAAATGGCTTGGTGATGATGGCCTTTAGCTTTACCTGTCTTCAAAGCACTTACCATATTTTTTGGAAAAGATGCACATTCCCCCCCCCCCCAAATTTGGGAGAAATAATGATTGTTAATGCTGTTGTTGAATTATGTTTACATTTACATTGGTGAAATATTATGTTATTTATGTTATTAAATACTTTACCACATTTTTTGCTCCAATTTTTTTCCTATTTTCCTCCTCTAAAACCTAGATGTATCTTATGATCTGAAAAATATTCTATCTTCCCTTTAATTCTAAATGATAACTTTGCTTGATATTGTAACCTAGGTTGTAGGTCCTTGCTTTTTCATCACTTTCAATATCTCTTGCCAGTATCTTCTTGCCTGCATAGTTTCTGTTGAGAAATCAGCTGACAGTCTTATGAAAACTCCTTTGTGGGTAACAATGTTTTTCTCTTTTTGCTTTTAAGATTTTCTATCTTTAATCTTTGGCATTTTAATTATGATTTGTCTTGGTGTGGTCCTCTTTGGGTCCAACTTGTTTGGGACTCTCAGTGCTTCCTGGACTTGCATATCTATTTCATTCACCAAATTAGGGAAGTTTTCTTTCATTATTTTTTCAAAAAATTTTCAATTTCTTGTTCTTTTCCTCTTCTCTGGAATCCCTATGATTCAGATTTGGCACTTTTGGAGATGTCCAAAACTCTGACGCTCTCATTTTTATAAATTCCTGTTTCTTTTTTTTTGTTCTGGATAACTGTTTATTCCTTCCTTCTGTTCCAAATGGTTGATTTGAATCCCAGCTTTCTTCCCTTCACATTTTGTTGCCTGTGAATTTTTCTTTATTTTACCTAGTATAACCTTCATTTCTTCCCTTATATTTTTGCCATACACAATGAGTTCTTCCAGCATCCTGATCATCAGTGTTCTTAATTCTGCATCTGATAGGTTGGCTATCTCTGTTTCATTTAGTCTCTATATTTCTTTGTCTCCTCAATTTGGTAGCCTCCCTGGGTTTGTTTCTGTATATTAGAAAGAGCTGCTTTGCCTGTCTTTAAGTTGAATGGAGTGGGGCCTTAGGTATTTGCCAGAGCAGGGCAACCCACTTCACTGCTTTTTGGCTCTGTGTGGGGGGAGGGCTCAGAGAGAAGACAATGAAAATGTCTAGCTTCCAGAGGCTTGTCTGGTACTTGCTCTGTTTGTGCCACTGGCACCCTTCTAGTTGTTGCTCTGGTGGTGATTCCCAGAGTGGGTGGGTGGGTATTTTCTAAGTCCATGGGGGCCCTTTAAACTGACTCTCCTGAGAGACTGGTAGTTTCTTCTGCCACCCCAACCCCTACTGGTTTTTATAGTCAGAAGTTATGAGGCTTTATCTTCCTAGTGCTGGAACCCTGGGCTGTACAGTCTGACCTGGGGCTGGGATCTCTTGCTCCCATGGTATCCCTGTTGATTTTTATTCACCACATATGAATGTGGGACCCCCCCCGATCAGCCACCACCTCTCCATGTCACACCACATCCTCAACAACCCAACTCCATGACTCTGCCCCCACCTAGCTGTCTGGGTGAATATGGCTTCTTTAAATCTGTGGTTATCCGACTTCCATACAGTTCTACTTCTGGCAGTTCTGGGGGTTTTTTGTTTTGAGGTTAGTTGTAATTCTTGTGGTCATATAAGGAGGCAAAACTTGTCTACCTAGGCCTGCATGGTAGGCCTAGGGTGGAGGACCCAAAGAGAAGCTTGAAAGCCATAAGAGAAAAGTGACTTATCATATACAAGTGATTTTTGAAGTGATAATTAGCACATATATCTGTGGAAACTTTTCAGGTTGAAAGGCAGTGGGATGATGTATTTAAAGTGCTGCTATTTAAAAAAGCAACTCTCAACTGAGAATTCTATATTTGGTAAAACTATGACAGTTAATTTTATGTGGTACTTTGGTTAGGCTGTGATACACTATTCTATAGATGTTTCTGTGAAGATATATTTTAAATGAGATTAACACTTAAACCAGTAGACCTTGAGTAAGAAAGGCAAATAAGAACATTAAATAATATAATGGTCAATTCACCAAAAAATATAATAATGATAAACACACATGCACCAAACCTCAGAGGTACAAAATATATGGTATAAGCCTTCACAGAACTGAAGGCAGAAACAAAACATCGCTACAACAATAGTGGGAGACTTTAGTGCCTCACTTTCAATATAGGTTAAAATAACCACAGAGAAGATCTGTAAATAAACATGGACTTGAACAGCACTATAGGGCAATTGGACCAAATGAGCATATATAAAACAGGAGGACATTCGTTTTTCTCAAGTGCACATGTAACATTATCCAGGACATGCAGTATGTTTATAAAACAAATCTGAATATATTTTAAAATACTGACATCATACCAAGTATATTTACCCATCACAAAAGAATAAGGAAAACTAGAAATTTTGCAAATATGTGGGAATTAAATGGCACACTCTTAAACAACCAATGAATCAAATAGGTCACAATAAAAATTATAAAATATCTGAGAAAAATAAAAATGAAAATACAATATCCTAATACTAAAGGATATAGAAAAATCAGTGCTAAGAGGCAAGTGTATGGCTATACATGATTATATTATAAAAGAAATAATGTCTCTAACTACCTAACATTATACCATATGACACTATAGAAAAATTAGCCCTGGATGGTGTAGCTCAGTGGATTGATCACAGGCCTGTGAACCAAAGGATCATGGTTTGATTCCCATTCAGGGCACATGCCTCGGTAGCAGGCCAGTTCCCAGCAGGGGATGCACAAGAGACAACCACACACTGATATTTCTCTCCCTCTCCCCTTCCCCTCTAAAGATAAATAAATAAAATCTTTTAAAAAAAGAAAAGAAAAAGAAAACTCAAAGCTAGCAGAAGAAAGGAAAAATAAATATTAGAGGAGAGATCAAGACAGAGTTATAAAAACAACAAAGAAAATCAATGAAAACAAGATTTGGTTCCTCAAAAAAGTAAGCAAGATCAACAAACTTACCTACAAAGACCAAGAGGAAAAAAAAGAGATGGTTATGCAACAATGTGAATGTACTTAACGTTAAAGTAAAAAACTGTTAAAATGCTAAATTTTGTGTTATATAATATTTTACCATTAAAAATAATACAAGATAAATACCTAGAACCAAGGAATATTTTTAGACTGAAAAGCCATAATAAATTAGATAGAAAGAAAATCCACCTTAGCTAACACACAAATATCTATGAGACAAATTACTGTGAATTTGCAGCACAGCTGTTATAAAGAGAAAATGCTAACTAAAAGTTTCCAGGCAGAAGAGAAAAACTATAAACAGATGTTTATATACAACAAACTAAGAATTAAATAGCAATATACATCTCAGTGGTAACACTGGACACTAGAAAACACTAAAGCAATTAAAAATTTTTTGAAAGAAGTTCTACACAGTCAAATCATCAACCAAATATAAGTGTAGCATTAAGACCTGTTTAGGCTTTCAAGGTTTAGAAAAATGTACCTCTCATTTATAATTTCTCAGTAAACTAATGAACAAAACAATGCATTGAAATAATAAAATAAAACAAGAGCGAGATACAGCATCCTGGAAATAAGGGTGCCCAACAAAGCATAGACACAAAGGATTCAGATCACAGTTGAAGAAACAATAGCCATGAAGGTCAGGTTTAGATGGTGAGCAGTCCTGAAGAATTCAGCCAAGTGGAAGTCTCAAGTAAAAATAGCTTGAAAACAAAAATATATATAATGCACTTGGGGAGAATAGCAGTTGAGAGTAGAGATTTTCATGCAAGTTTTTCAAAGGAACTAGTATAAGAAAGCAAACATATTCTGTGGTTCAGCTATGAATAGTGTCTACATAGTCAAAAATATTAAATCATTAAATATTAGTTAACCCCCAAACAATGATAATTCTATTGGGATAATAGAGGAAGAAACACGTAAGCATGTGTATTAGGATGATTTATAACTTTCTGTATCTGAATATTTATGAAATGTTAAATGAGATATGGATATTTTATCTACAAATGATCAGCAAATACTTCATGGAGTCTTATATTTATAGTTCAAAATTAACATGCCCAATTCTAAAGAATTTACTGTTCATCAAATCCTGTTCAAATATAATTTAAAAATTCATATAACAAACCTTTTTGAATGAGATGTCTTTGTTTTTTGCCAATACCTTTTGTTTTTAATTCATATGAAGGAGAGGAAACCTGTTTTTTCCGTTTACTAGAATATTCTAAAGCAGCAGGAAAATGTATATTCTGTGGAAACAAAAGCAATGACACCAATGATAATGAGTTCTCAAAGAATTTTCACATGTATAATATACATCACCACTGATTTTCATTTTAAAACAACAAAAACCTGTGAGACAGGCCAGAGTTAGGAAAATAAAAAGACCTCCATTGTGTGTGATTTTGATAAATTGCTTTTCCTATTAAGAGTTGAGATATTATTTGGATGATGCAAAAAGGGGGCCTTTCGTAAAGATGCCATGACTAAAGGAATAAGTGTAGGAGAGAAATAATGTCTATACAGAGAAGTACTAATGTTTAGTGTTGCCCAGAAAGCCTAAAGGAAGATTCAGAGTAAGAGAGGCAAAATTATTTCACAGAACACTAAAAGGTAGGAATATATGAAAAAATAGAAATTGGACTAGAATAATCACAAGTCTCGAAAGTACAACTGGATTAGATATGTGTGGAAGGAATGACAAACACAATATTGAAAGGAGCTTCACAAAGAGTGGGGCCACCCTCAGATGTAAACTGGACAATGTCTGTAATATGGTTGGAAATGTTTTAATAACTAATACTGAGTTACTCTTTTTCTCTTCACAGTTCATCCAGTAGTGATTCAGAGGATCCATTGGGTCATCAGGAAGCCAGTTCTTTCAAAATTTGTCATCTCTATCTCACTGCATCTACATGACCACTCTACTCAGTGCTGATTATGAGTCAAGATAGCTACCAGAACTCCAAACACAACATGCGCATCTCAGTCAGCAACATGGGGGGAAGGGTAGAATGGTAAAAGGCAGGCCATGTGTTCTTGAGAAACTCCTAGAGGTCCTTCCAAACAACTTTGGTTTGTATCTCATCAGCCACTCATAGCTACAAAGGAAAGGATAAGAAATATGACCTTTTTTCTAGGTATTTGCTGTCTTGAGTAAAATTGGGGATCTCTTCCCCAGAAAGAAGAAAAAGATAAATATTGGTAGGCAAGCAACTACAGTCTGCCACAGAAAAAATATGAGAATCTTTGTGAGGATATACATTTGTATTCTGAAAAATCTTCCCAAAACATCATGCTTTCCTTGACAGGAACCACTGGTCTTAATTCTGAAGACTCAAAATGTATTGTCTTCAGATAGATCTCCTTTCTGGGATGTTTGTTTTTGTATATTTATCTCTGGAAAATATGTGGAGGACTCATCAGTTGCCACTGTGTAAAAGCTCTGTACAGATACTCACTTATGTAGTATGGTAACAACCGTGAGCTATGCTCATGCCCCTGGAAAATGTCGCAGACACTGTATACTCAGGACAATGTATTTCCTTCAAATCTATTACTGCTTACTTCTAATTTTTCTGACCAGCACCATTTTCATCCATTGAGATAAAGTTTGCATCACCTCTCTAATATATGATGGCTGACAGAATTGTGAAATAGGAACTCATTGTCACATTTCCCCCACCTTGACCTGTCCAGTTACACAAACATCCTTTATTCTGTAATTTGAAAGAGACACTTGGCTATGTGTCTTGGCTCCCGTATTTAAAATCTTCTTCCCAAATTCCTACACCATATAATAGACATACATTTAATTAAATATCCTTAGGTTTCTTTTTATCTTTTAAATTTTATATGTAATGTCTCTAACTTATCTATTGAAAATTATTTGTCTTTATGCAGACTTTTTGAATGCTCATAACAGGCACTAACTTACAGTCTTGGAGTAAACTTTAGTTTTTGTTCTTCACTAAAAAATTCTTTACTGATCTTATTATATAACACAATTTCTTGGGATAATATTTTTTTCAGTATTTACATGAAAAAATATACTTTTTGTTAGAAAAATAAGTAAGTATGTATTTTTGAGCTCAGATATTCTTCTTAGAGTTAGAAATTGTTCTTATGGTTGCCAAGAATAAGTTTAATATCATACAGTACCAACACATTATCAAAATATGACTAAATAATGTTAGTTCTACTTTAATGTGGGTTTGATTCTTTAATAGAAATTAAACAAAATATTATTAAAATATAGACAATTGCTTTGCAACCAAATCTGTAACAATCAATTTCAAATGCTTTTTCAACCTCAAATTTGACCATCAATCCTCTCCAGATTACATCATCTTAACTTTTTACGCCATCATCTTGTATCTTTGTACTTCTAGAATGTTTCTGTATTTTAGTTATCTTTTTGTCTCTCCCTCATAACAATGTAACTTTTCAAATATTAAAAATCACCTCAAATTCTATTTCAACCATAGAAATGGCTCTTTTCTTCTTCTAGATCTCACACTTACATCCAACACATGAGAAAATAATAAAAGTGGAATATAAGGATATGTTCAACTCCATTTCTACTATTACTTATTAGTTTACCTTCCCTTAATAGAATAAAAAATTAAAGTTAAAAGTAGATATCTGTCTGTCAAACCTGAGTATCTACTCTCTACCACAAACATTGTTATTTTCATCATCATAAGATTTAGAAATCCTCTAGTTAAATAAATAATTACTTTCAGCAAAAGATTTTTTTAGCCCTCCCACTTATACTTCTTCATATATCCATAGAGCATCCTTTATCATCACTTGAAATCATTTTCCCTTCCTTGGCTTTATAAAAGAAGAATTCATAACAAAGGGTACATATATGACAGTGAAACACATTTATAGGGAGAGTCGAAAGCCTGGAATGAACTCAGGCTTACACAAGTTGCTGAGGTACAGAAAATGTGCTTTTCTTTCATATGTACTGCATATGTACTCCACTCACTGACTGAACTTTGAAGTAACAGAGAAAAAGCAGTTATCAGAAGCCTTGGGAAAATCTAATAAATACCTTGTTTTTAATGACAGAAAGTATATTCTAGGTAATTTAAGATTACCTTAAAACAAACAATGGTGTTCAATGATTTAAGAAAATATTTTAAGGATGTTTTGTAGCACTGAGAAAAGGGATAATCAACAAGGACCAATATAAATTGACAACAAACCAATAAGTTCAATTTTAACAGAGTCACAGTTAATTCTGGTAAAAATCTCCTTGATATGAGAAACCTTCATGTCAGCAATATTTAATAAATGGTTTCACTACTCATAAGAAGGCAGTATAATTAGGTGGAGTTCAGAGGTGTGGAGTCATCACATGGAAAGGAGTAAAGGTTCATCAAAGGAAGCCAACCTGAAGAGAGATCTCCCATGCCATGATATCTATTCTTATCAATATTTATATGAGTGATTTGAATAAAAATATAAAGGAAATGCTTACCAAATTTTATATGAGGTAGTAAAAGAACAAAATCAGTTAACACACCACACAGAAACTTAAAGTATTATCAATAAACTCTATCAATGGGTAAAATTCAACAGATGAACTTCCATTGGAATAAATATTGCAGTTGAAGAAAATTAATTTTATATCATTTAATTAAAAAACCCGAGTAATAAGAGATTAAAATATTTCAGTTCAGAGCAAATTAATTAACAGTTCATCATGTGATGACCTTATACTATATGCTGTACTATAGTATTTCAGCATTTCATAGAATATGAGAAATTGTATAAGTATAAAATGTATATGGGAAACTATAGCTGAAGCTATGTGAGGTCAAGGCAAAACATTTTCAGAAGATTATGGATAACCTAGAACATGAAAAGAAAGCAGCCTACCTACTGAATTATTTTTAAAGTGAGCCCTATCTGATTAAATCCAGAACATAAAAGAGGTAACAGAGAGATTCAGTCTCCTCACACCTCCCTCAATTTCCATCTTCCTCATCTTCTAAAAGGATTCCACAGCATTTACGCAATTTCGTTTGTTTGCTTGTTTGTGTTACAACTTGTTTTTTGTATTTTTATTTATTTTTTATTATTGTTCTATTACAGTTCTCCCAATTTCCCTCGTTACTCCCCTGTCACACCAGACCCCCATTCTCACAGTCATGATTTTTATTATGATGATTTTAAAACATAGTCCACAAGGGCAAGGACTTTGCTTGTCTTGATTATGCAGTGCTAAGAATGATCCTTGGCATGAGCAGTTACTCAATAATCACTTGTTAAATGTTGGATGAATAGTACCAAACAGAAGTACTAGGAGGAATAAGTGGAAGTTTAGGAACTTTGATTCAATAATAATTGGTTCAATATAATATAAAATGAAACTCCATTTTTTGGAGAAAGTCCAACAACCAGGTAGAATTTTATCAGAAATTCCTAGCTTATAATTTTAGAAGACTCTATTCCAGGTCACACATCAACATTCCCTTCTTTTATTTTGAAATCTTAACATCCACTATACAGTTACTCCAAAGTTTTTAACTCAGCAGCTCTTTACAACCTCCCAATCCCTTCTTCTAAGCTCTTCATCATGTACATCAGTGTAGACCTTCTCAATTTTTCAGTCTCATCTACTTTACCATTCTTCAATATCCCCACCCCTGCACAAAAAACACAAACATAACCCTGTTGTAGGAATAATGATGCCCCTACTCATGCACATCCCTTTATCTACCTATTCTGTTGATATTATATTACAATAAGCCTGAAAATGAAAATGGTAAGAAAAGAACTCTCCACTGATGCTACTGCGTGAAAAAGTTATAAGTATAAAACTCATCTATAATAGGTATGGAAGTGAGGAGAGACATCTGTATATTAAAAATCTCATCCAATAATAATAAAAAATTCTGGTGCATTGAGGTCATGCCGTTTTTGGTCAAAAATTGCTCAACACTTAGCACAGTGTGGGCAGGTGAGCTCATAAATCAGCCATCATGAAATAGACAAATGTGTTGAGTCTTCAAAAGACACTCACTGAAGTTGAACACAGCCTCTTATGACCATGCCTCCTGGAACGCTGATACAGATGGGTTCCTAGAACATCACCTAGTGGGGGAAGCCTGTACTACAAGGGGCCTGCCCTCCAGAAGATAATTTTAATTTTGGGGGACCCCCTCATAATAGATGAATTATATAATATGTATACCTATATTCATGTAGATACAGTATATATACACATACTCAG